TGGTCTGATACGCCAAAGTCCGATGGTGCGGAGGAACAGTCAACATTTATGACGTCACAGAAGTCCGACGTCATGACGTTGTCCTGTTGTGTATTTTATTGATTTTACTTATTGTTTTCACCCACTAGAGGCATTAATTAGGGTTAATCCTCGCACACCACTCGAATGATAAGAGTTAGTCCCTGAACACTATTGGATTGATATTTTTTTTTCTTCGAACCCACCCGAAAGATTTTTGGGTAAGCCTAGCCCTCGACTGATTAGGATTAGTCCAGCACCCACCCAAGATACTTAGGTTATAGTTACTGAGTACTACACATTTTTCGACTGATTAGGGCTAGTCTCGCACCTATATCTAATAGATGAGGGTTAACCTTTGCATTTAATATTTATTTGTATTTTATCTTAAACAATCGGGCCTTGGCATGGCGCGGTATCGCATTTTTGCGCACCAGTACTATGACGTCATAAACTTTAATTGTTTTCCGCACCATCGGACTTTGGCGTGTCAAACCATCGGGGTTTGGCGCAGACCATCGGACTTTGGCGTGACCATCGGACTTTGGAGTCCCATCGCACTTTGGAGTCCTACATATGTATATATGTGATATATCCCTGGTCCGTTTATCTCTTTTGCTCAATACACAACAGGCTTAATACATAGAAACACGTGTAACGGTACTATATTACAACTATAATCGGATTTTCGTCCACTGTTAATCACAAAAAATATTTTAAAAAACACATGAAACTAAAGATTGCAACCCAAAATATGACACCATTTACATCATTTACGTAATTTTTTATTTTCGTTATTATAATTTTGTAATTTAAAAAAGGCGCAAACTCTTATAAGTTACACATGATAAAAATTGATCACTGATGTGTTCTTTTTCTACAAAATTAAATTTTTCCTTACTTGGGGTCACTTTTTTGTCATGGAAAAAAGAAACCTTTTTATGATATATATCAGTATCATTGAATGAATCATTTTGTAAGGATTGTTCAACTTCCTTGAAATTGTGAATCCGGTCTCCGTTACGTCAATATCGGATTAATATGGGGATTTTAGACTTTTATAGATCATGTATCAAGAATTACAGCATCAAAAGCTCTGTCGATTTTTACAGCAAAACAACACCTGCAGTTTTGGTGAAAAATGAAGGGTTTTCTTCGCAAAAAAATTTGTTGCAAACAAGGGTTCCATATATTGTTTGCACAATGTGGCTTTATTTGTGCTAATTTGTGACATTGAAATGTACATGTATATCCTTAGACTGAAATTGTATTAAACTCGACTTTCAAAGTAATTTTAAATTATGACAATACCAATACATGTAACCTTTTTAAAGAACATTATATAAATTTCCATTTATTGATTGATTATTGACGATAAATTGTGATAGAAAATCAAGCAATGGTCCTCACAATTAAAAAGCAAGAAACTAAATTATGTTCCTTGGGATATTCTTAAAGTGTTCAAGTTTTATTTAGATAAAGTCAAACTGTAAGATGAAGTAAAGAATTCAAAGAATTTCCTGGCAATTTCTGTTGTACCTTAAAGAACTTAAACTAGAGGAACTGTGAGCACTGAGCCCAAGAAATAATATCCTCAGCCTCCCAAATGATTATAATGGAAAAACTCATGTTACATACATGCTATATATATTAGGGAGACTTGAAAAAGTGTCTAGTCAAAGTAAAAAAAAGACCAAATGACACTATATGCAATAAAGAATCTGTGATAGTATCATTATATCTTATTCAGTGTTATATGAGGAGTTGCGGACAAGAGATGGGTACCCCCAATATTATTGAAAGAATGGCTGTGTCAATGCCTTTGCTACAGGGAATCAGAAATATGTGTTGGGGCAAAAGTAAAATAGGCCACAATGACAAGTAGAACTACATATTCAGTGGTATCAAACAAATTCTTACTTTGGTAACATTAGCAACACATTTGTTGATTTTTGTGAGTATACAGAATATATCTTTTTATTTTTCTTATATAATTTTATTTTATTTAATCGGAACAAAATTGTGGAGCGTGGCAATTAAAAAAATGCAATAAAGGCAACGCCCACACTTTTATTCATTCTATACGCAGAAAAGATTTAATATATATATATTTATGACGTGTAAATCTCTTCAAAGGCTGGCGTGTGAATCACAGTTTCTTTAATCCATGAAATAATGACAACTTTATACCAATTCAGTGTATGTTTGTCTTTTGTTTCCCTTACTTAACAGCAGGGACGTAGCAACAGGGGGGGGGGGCTGCCCCCCCCACTTTTTTTCCCAACATTACCTTTTTACTATTGAAAATGTTTATTGAAAGGTTGGTTGGCCCCCCACTTCTTACCACAAGAAAGTGATATCAAGGAAATATAGTATTGTATACCAAAAAAATTGGAAATGAAAGAACTGTATACTCGGTAATCGCATTGATCAAGTTGTATCAAAAGTATATTTATAGTCTAATAGACGGGCATGCGATGATAAAACACGAGGGAAAAAATCATTTAGGTGTCCAAATTCTAGAATTTGCCAGTACGCGACCTTACAGCAATAAAGAGGAGGGGTTCACCAGCATCTAAAACAAACATAGGTAATCAAAGATTACAAAGCTCACCTCGACGAATGTTATCAGTTTAAGTAATGCAAATCTCACATCATATTTTCTTAACAGTTAGAATTTATTCAACAACAATATTCTAGCAAGTTCTGTTTAGATAGGTCTTATGGTTCATTGGGATTGATCTGTTCCAAAAACTTTAACCTGGTCACTCATCTGGAAAATGTAGGTCAGATCCAGCACCCGAAGCAAGTTTGGTATGGTCCATCCCTAGATGCATTAGCCATGCAAGTTTGGTCTGGGTAGGCCTTAAAGTTACTTGGGAATGGACCTGCTCCAAAAACTTTAACCTGATCACTCATCTGGAAAATGTAGGTCAGATCCAGCATCCGAAGCAAGTCTGGTAGTGTCCATCCCTAGATGTATCATCCATGCAAGTTTGGTCTGGGTAGGGCTTATAGTTACATGTACTTGTAGTGGGAATGGACATGCTACAAAAACTTTTAACTTGGACGCCGACGCCGACGCCAACGCCGGGGGTAGAGCATAAGCTCATCTCGATCGACTCTGTCGAGGTGAGCTAAAAAAAACCTTAGATGCAAATCTGTCGCTGGTCTGAAAAAAATGGGAGGGATGGCCAGAGAGATACAGTACAGTGCAGTAAAAACGTCTATTTATTGCGCTCATTTTTTCGTTTAATTTCTCCAAATTTTTACCTCAACTGAACAAAAACTCGTTTACAAAATATCCGTTGACTCCTATCTACTATACCCTCACAGTTTATACCTGCACAAAGCGCGTTAGACAAAAACTTGTCTTGCAATCTAAAATGGCAGTGTACATACTAGGCAACCTTTTCGATGGTTTCCATTTCAGACGCAGAAGGGATATTTAGAAAGGTAATAAGGAATGTTTTGCTGGGAAATAGTTCAAAGATATACATTGTATTTGGAACACAGGGTAAATAATATTTATGAAATGGCAGTTTGATAAACACTAATATATAAATCGAGAAACAGTGCACAATTTAATTCGTGCCAATAAATATATTGCAGTAATATGTTTTCGATATGTGGCCCTGTAGCTTTCCGGTATGTCAATATATACATATAATTTTTCGAAAAACTACAATTCTGCAGCTACAGAGTACAGTACTCAGAAAAGCCCGCCTCCCCCCCCCCCCCCCCGCCCACCTCTCAACGGCTTGACATAGACATCTTATCATTGTATATACCCGGTGGTTAACTGAGATAATGACATTGTTATAAAAGAATACTACAGATACTGTGATCACTGAGCTCACTAAATGATACCCCCACCTCCCATATGATTATAATGGAAAAGTCAATGTTTTTCTCTGACAGACCAGAAATAACTGTTAAACCCCTGTCACACCGGGGCTGCGTCTTCACGGCGACTGCACGGCGTCCTAAAAAAATGCAAAACGCCGAGGTGATCGCAGTAGAATCTCCTACAGCGCCGTGACAACGCGGCGAGATCTCCAATGAACGCCGTAGGGTCGCGAACTCCAGGGGACGGCGATCACTTTGAGCATGCACAAAGTACGCACCGTGTGATCGCAGTCTGATAAGAACGCAGTAGAAACGTAGTATGATCGCCGTAGCAGCGCGGTGAGATCTCCAACAACGTAGTGGGAGCTCCGTACGAACGCCGTGAAGACGCACATGATCGCGGCACAAGCGCAGTGATAGTAGACTGGGCTTCCACGGAGACCTCACGCAGATGTCGCGGAGTTCTTGGAGATGTCACTGCGTTTCTATCGCGTTTTTACGGCGCTTCTAATGAGATTTATCGTCTTGTGATTTTTTCGACTGCGATTACACGAGGACAGCACGGGGTTGTCACTGCGATCATTGCGCTCCCATGGCATTTCTACAGCGTCCGTTGGCGATCACAATGCACTTTCACGGCGTTGTTAGAGCGTTGTCAGCCAGCTCACAAAACAAGAGCAATGGGATTTTGATCAGCAATGATTCTAACTTATTTGTTGCACTAGGAGCATTTAAAGTAAGATAGGAGGTGCACAATGGCATTATGTAATAAAGGATCTTAAAGCATCATCAATTTTATTTAGTAGTATAGAAGGAGTTGCAGATTAGAGATACACTGTAGGTACCCTTCAATATGATAGAAAGATTGGCAGTGTACATGTTTTGCTATGGGACACCCAAAATATGTGTCAACTCAAAAAGTAAAATAAGAGGTGCACAATGGCACTATGTAACAAAGATTCTCTGAAAGCAATTCAAAGTATCATTACATTTCCTTTGGTGGTATAAGAGAACTTGCAGATAACAGATAGGCTTGCACTCTAAATTTTAACAGACGGATGGATATAAAGGATGGACATTCCGATCACTATTTTTCAATGGACGGTAATTAGGTATGTATTCAAAATGCGAAATTCACTCATTTTTTCTCTTTATTCATAAATTTTACAAAATAAGAAGCACTGTATTGGTAGACCATAAATCTAGAGTGAATCATAACATTAGCTTAGTGTGAATTTAATATAACAATTAACAAAATAAACAAGAATACAATGTTGTTCTTTGTAAGTAATAATCTGATAATAAAACATAAAAAAATATCAACAAATATATCACCTTTGTCTCTCTTTTTTGCACCAAACTTTCAATATGATTAATATTTAAATTTTAATGATCACAATGGCTTGTTCACCTCTATTTTTTGAAGGACAATAACTATTAGGTAGAGAATATACTTCCCCCTGAGCTTTTTTCACACGTGGAAATCTGCAGCGAATCAAAATCAAACTGTGGCATTTCCAGGGGAGGAAGCTCCATGTCTGGAATGGCAATTCCTCCATGTTCCTCCACTGGGTAGGAATGTCTCTTAGTGTCCTCCGACTTAAACACTCTATCAGTAAGGTATCTGTTGTCTTTCTTGGAATTATCCAATTCTTTTTCTAGCTGCGCAACTTCCTTTCTCAGTTCAAGCTTTTCTTGAAGGAGACGATTGATCACAGTCTCATAGTCAGTGTCACTCATTGTCTTGGTCAGTGTTATGTTTTCCTGAGAAGCATTATAACCTACACTGAGACTCTTTTCTTCATCAGTGTCACTTACAAACTTGTTTTTCAGCAGTAAATGTCCAACAAGAGAATCAGTCCCTACTAGCGCCTGCATGATCCTGTCATTAGATTCCTGGGAGATGTGATCATCCAGGAAGTGGTTGGGGCTGAACATGAGTTTAGCCTCTGTCTGAGTTGACTGGTTCTTCACCTCTGAACCTTTGTTTGCTAGCTTGTTGTTCATCTTCTCTACTCGGATGATCTTGTCTTGGATAGCTTCTTGTTGTCTAAGATGAAACTGGTGTTGAAGCTGAATGGATTCTTGTGCATACTTTGAAGGAGAAAGCTGCAGGGCTTGCAGAAGGTATTCTGAAAAGAAAAACAAATAAGGAAGTTGCTTAAAAATTGAACGTTAGGCGTTCAGAAGCAGAAAATCATTGCCAATACTTCTTTGTTCCATATGAAATGGTAAACAATTCTTTTAAGAAAATTATGATTTTAGGGACCTTGAACATACATGTTGATATATGTTAATATAGCATATTTTCAAAGGCCCCTAAAATCATGATTTTAAAATAATGTATCAAGTTTGTTAAAATTGAGAAGGCAAAACCTTTATTAACATTTTACAGAACTGACTTTGTAACCAATTTTCAAGTGATACATTTAGGTAGATGGACATTTTGTTATTATCAGGTCCAGGCCTATAGGAGTGGCCAGCATAATTGTTTTAATTTGTATACAAGAGGCCCATGGGCCACATCGCTCACCTGAGCACTAAGGGTAGGAAAAAGTAGAAAATAGCTTTTTATTGCAAAGTTAAAATTCAAACGTAGTCCCATGACCAATCATGGATTTGCTATTTTTTAATAAATGATTTTTAAAAAATTTTCCTATAGATTTCTATGTTAAAATTTGGTCAGCCATTTTGGCCCCGCCCTAACCCAGGGGGTCATGATTTGAACAAACTTGAATCTACACTACCTGAGCATGCTTCCATATAAATATGATGAATTATGGCCTTGTCATTCTTGAGAAGAAGATTCTTAAAGAATTTTCCTATATATTTCTATGTAAAACTTTGGTCGGCCATTTTGGCCCCGCCCTACCCCCGGGGGTCATGATTTGAACAAACTTGAATCCACACTACCTGAGCATGCTTCCATAAAAATATGATGAATTATGGCTTTGTCATTCTTGAGAAGAAGATTTTTAAAGAATTTTCCTATATATTTCTATGTAAAACTTTGGTCGGCCATTTTGGCCCCGCCCTACCCCGGGGGGTCATGATTTGAACAAACTTGAATTTACACTACCTGAGCATGCTTCCATAAAAATTTGATGAATTAACAGTGGTTCTTGAGAAGAAGATTTGTAAAGAATTTTCCTATATATTTCTATGTAAAACTTTGGTCGGCCATTTTGGCCCCGCCCTAACCCGGGGGGTCATGATTTAAACAAACTTGAACCTACACTTCCTGAGCATGCTTCCATATAAATATGATGAATTATGGCCTTGTTATTCTTGAGAAGAAGATTTGTAAAGAATTTTCCTATATATTTCTATGTAAAACTTTGGTCGGCCATTTTGGCCCCGACCTACCCCGGGGGGTCATGATTTGAACAAACTTGAATCTACACTACCTGAGCATGCTTCCATATAAATATGATGAATTATGGCCTTGTCATTCTTGAGAAGAAGATTTTTAAAGAATTTTCCTATATATTTCTATGTAAAACTTTGGTCGGCCATTTTGGCCCCGCCCTACCCTGGGGGTCATGATTTGAACAAACTTGAATCTACACTACCTGAGCATGCTTCCATAAAAATATTATGAATTATGGCTTTGTCATTCTTGAGAAGAAGATTTTTAAAGAATTTTCCTATATATTTCTATGTAAAACTTTGGTCCGCCATTTTGGCCCCGCCCTACCCCGGGGGGTCATGATTTTAACAAACTTGAATCTACACTACCTGAGCATGCTTCCATATAAATTTGATGAATTATGGCTTTGTCATTCTTGAGAAGAAGATTTGTAAAGAATTTTCCTATATATTTCTATGTAAAACTTTGGTCGGCCATTTTGGCCCCGCCCTATCCCGGGGGGTCATAATTTGAACAAACTTGAATCTACACTACCTGAACATGCTTCCATAAAAATATGATGAATTATGGCTTTGTCATTCTTGAGAAGAAGATTTGTAAAGAATTTTCCTATATATTTCTATGTATGGTCGGCCATTGTGGCCCCGCCCTACCCCAGGGGGTCATGATTTGAACAAACTTGAATCTACACTACTTGAGGATGTTTCCCCATAAGTTTCATCTTTCCTGGCACAATGCCACCAAATTTTCATTAATTCCCAAGTATCTCCCCTTGAATGAGGGCGTGGCCCTTCATTTGAACACACTTGAATCCCCTTCACCCAAGGATACTTTGTGGCAAATTTGGTTGAAATTGGCCCAGCGGTTCTTGAGAAAAATTCGAAAATGTGAAAAGTTTACAGACAGACAGCTAGACAGACAGATGGACGCCGGACAAAATGTGATCAGAAAAGCTCACTTGAGCTTTCAGCTCAGGTGAGCTAATAAAAAGCATAAAGGGAAAAGAGACACAATAATATTCATTGGTTTGATGAAATAGTTCCTTTTAAATAATACATCTAAGAGTCAAGCAAGAAACTATATAAAATTGCTTTATTCATTGTGTGAATTGTTTTTCATACATTCTAACTTATTTTTTCATTTTCCTGACTGGGATATATATAGTTACATGTAAAGTAATGATGATTTTTTATTAGAAGGTTTTACAAGAAGTAATCCCTAGCATGATAAAGCATTTTATGATATGTAAATATTAAAATTATATCAAATTTTCGGATATTGATTAAAGATTTAAAAAAATGGAAAGTTTGGTAGATGTTGAATATATACAGTGGAGCCTCATTTATCCCGACGCTTTAGTTCCCACTCAATTTGTCCGGATATGTGAAGCGTCCGGATACCTGAATCACCAGTTAAACAAGACATAATAATTAACATTTTGAAATTCTGTTCCGATGAAAAACCATCCGGATACTGAAGCATCCGGATACCTGGCATCCGGATATCTGAAGGTCTACTGTATGTAGTTACAAAACTACTAGTATATCTAAAACATGTCACATTTACTCTGATGCCCATCAACATGATCAAGGTTATGGACATCAATATCATTGACATCATTATGTAACAAAATCTAGGGTATAACATGAGGATGGTTTTCATAATTTTGTCTGAGATAATCAATATAAATTTTGGGTATATAGAAAATACATGTAGCTCAGAGCTCCAGATAATTTTTTACCCCAAAGTGTATTTACTCCCTGATTTTAAAATCAATGCAGATTTTGATTTTTAGCAAAATGATTGAGGAGTATTTTGTTTATAAATGTTTTGACCTTTTTGATTTTGAGCTTGTAATTGAAATATAATTAGTGCTTTTGAAGAGTGAAAAAACTACAAAGGTTAGTTCCTGCATTTATTTTAATAAATTCTGAAAATAGCAACAAGAATATTTGGAAGCATTCTTTTTGACAAGGAAGATGATATAGAAGGTCAAGGTACCATAGAGTCAGAGGCACAGAAAACTTTTCCTCCATTTAAGATGGTATCGTATCAAGAGTAAACTGAGAGAAAAAAAATCATCGTTAATATGGCAAGTTGAGAGAAATGAAAAATTGGCTATGAACCCATAATAAAAAAGTTACAGTTGTATGCCTAGTGCATATTCTTTCTATTTATAGAAATTAATTTTATAGACATATATTTTAAACTTAAATTCTTCGACCTAACCTAAACTCTTCAACCGTTTGTACACAGAACTTTCATGGTGTAATTTGAACAAACTTGATTCTACACTACCTGAGGATGATTCCACATGAGTTTCATCTTTCATCTTTCCTGGCCCAGCGGTTCTTGAGAAGAAGATTTTTTTAAAATGATATTAATTTTTCACTAATTCATAATTATCTCCCCTTGGAAGAGGGCGTGGCCCTTCATTTGAACACACTTGAATCCCCTTCACCCAAGGATACTTTGTGCCAAGTTTGGTTGAAATTGGCCCAGTGGTTCTTGAAAAGAAGATAAAAATGTGAAAAGTTTACGACAACGACAACGCCAACAATGACAACGATAACGACAGACGACGGACAAATTTTGATCAGAAAAGCTCACTTGAGCCTTCGGCTTAGGTTAGCTAAAAAGGTGCACTATTTACGGCGCAATATTTTTTGCGCACTTTGGGGGAGATTTGTCCACTTTCCAGCATCGATCAATGACCTACCTTTTACTTCCAAATACTAGGCACATTATTTAACTAATCTGTATATTTTATCTATTTCCCAACCCTATATTGTCGTCTCTACAAGTGATAAACTCGATTGATTAAAATTATTTGTTAGATTGTTGAAAATTCACTTCAAGCGAGGTTATTGCCTGTAGAGACAACTAAAAATGGTTGTCAGGTGTATAAAATATATACATATTGGCTACAGAATGTGTCTAGCATTAGGGAGTGAAAGATAGTTGATTGACCAATGTTAGAAAGTGGAGAAATTCTCCACAAAAGTGCTAAAAAAATTGCGCCGTAAATTGCATATTTTTTTGCATTACGGGATCTGTAGTGTTATGGTCAAAGACAAATTTATAAAACCATAACGCTACAGATCTGCAGCTAGAAAATCAAAAGAAAAAGAATGAAAGAAAAAGTGAGCTAGCTCACATACCCCACGCTCCCCCATAACTTGATGGTGAAACACATTTAATGAAAGACACAGTGCACTTTAAATACATAGTATAGATCACAAAGGGCAAAAATTGCAAAAAATCTTCACATCAAAATGTCTTGCATATGAGGGCATTTAAATGTGGAATGAAGTTTCTAGATAAATTATGTAATCAAAATTTCTTGACAATATACAAATCCACGCATTAATTTGAAGTGAGGGGGGGGGAATTTTCTTGAAAAAAAGGCAAAACTCTTTGGGATAATATAATTGAATATGTCCTAAATATCAGCATAGGTTGACAAAACTATGTACAACAGTTTAAGTGGAGTGGTGCTAACAAACTGTTCATCTCTATATTCAAAATATGGAAAAAAAGTCTAAGTTGAAAAGTGGAAATTCTCGGAAAAATAAAGGAATCGGAATTCCCAGGTAATATGCACATCTACATATTGTGTCCTATATACCTGCAAAGTTTGACGAAATTCTGTGCAGCGGTTTATGAGGAGTTGCGCTGACAAACTGTTCATCTCTATATTCAAGGTATGGCCAAATGCCTAAGTTAAAAGTGCGGAAATTCCCGGAAAAAATAATGGAATCGGAATTTCCTGGTAATATGCAAATCTATACATTGTGTCCTAAATACCTGCAAAGTTTGACGAAATTCTGTGCAGCGGTTTATGCGGAGTTGCGCTGACAAACTGTTCATCTCTATATTCAAGGTATGGCCAAATACCTAAGTTAAAAGTGCGGAAATTCCCGGAAAAAATAATGGAATCGGAATTTCCTGGTAATATGCAAATCTATACATGGTGTCCTAAATACCTGCAAAGTTTGACGAAATTCTGTGCAGCGGTTTATGAGGAGTTGCGCTGACAAACTGTTCATCTCTATATTCAAGGTATGGCCAAATG